CTTTCCCCTTCATCAAGTACACAATGTTTCGGTGCTACTTCTTTCCCCTTCATCAAGTACACAATGTTTCAGGGCTACTTCTTTCCCCTTCATCAAGTACACAATGTTTCGGAGCTACTTCTTTCCCCTTCATCAAGTACACAATGTTTCAGGGCTACTTCTTGACCCTTCATCAAGTACACAATGTTTCGGAGCTACTTCTTTCCCCTTCATCAAGTACACAATGTTTCGGTGCTACATCTTTCCCCTTCATCAAGTACACAATGTTTCTGTGCTACTTCTTTCCCCTTCATCAAGTACACAATGTTTCGGTGCTACTTCTTTCCCCTTCATCAAGTACACAATGTTTCAGGGCTACTTCTTTCCCCTTCATCAACATGATCAAGTACACAATGTTTCAGGGCTACTTCTTTCCCCTTCATCAAGTACACAATGTTTCGGTGCTACTTCTTTCCCCTTCATCAAGTACACAATGTTTCAGGGCTACTTCTTTCCCCTTCATCAAGTACACAATGTTTTGGTGCTACTTCTTTCCCCTTCATCAAGTACACAATGTTTCAGGGCTACTTCTTTCCCCTTCATCAAGTACACAATGTTTCAGGGCTACTTCTTTCTCCTTCATCAAGTACACAATGTTTCAGGGCTACTTCTTTCCCCTTCATCAAGTACACAATGTTTTGGTGCTACTTCTTTGCCCTTCATCAAGTACACAATGTTTCGGTGCTACTTCTTTCCCCTTCATCAAGTACACAATGTTTCGGTGCTACTTCTTGGCCCTTCATCAAGTACACAATGTTTCAGGGCTACTTCTTTCCCCTTCATCAAGTACACAATGTTTCAGGGCTACTTCTTGGCCCTTCATCAAGTACACAATGTTTCAGGGCTACTTCTTTCCCCTTCATCAAGTACACAATGTTTTAGGGCTACTTCTTTCCCCTTCATCAAGTACACAATGTTTCAGGGCTACTTCTTTCCCCTTCATCAAGTACACAATGTTTTAGGGCTACTTGTTGACCCTTCATCAAGTACACAATGTTTCAGGGCTACTTCTTTCCCCTTCATCAAGTACACAATGTTTTAGGGCTACTTCTTTCCCCTTCATCAAGTACACAATGTTTCGGTGCTACTTCTTTCCCCTTCATCAAGTACACAATGTTTTAGGGCTACTTCTTTCCCCTTCATCAAGTACACAATGTTTCAGGGCTACTTCTTTCCCCTTCATCAAGTACACAATGTTTTAGGGCTACTTCTTACCCCTTCATCAAGTACACAATGTTTCAGGGCTACTTCTTTCCCCTTCATCAAGTACACAATGTTTCAGGGCTACTTCTTGACCCTTCATCAAGTACACAATGTTTTAGGGCTACTTCTTTCCCCTTCATCAAGTACACAATGTTTTAGGGCTACCTCTTGCGAATGTCCCTTCATGACCTGGTTACCCAAACATAATACAGTTATGTAGTTATGTTCACTAACAACATTATTACGTCAGATTTTCACCATTTCTTCTCTTATTCTAATACAGTAATATAACAATGTAGTCTTGCCTGATTTAACCACATTATTTAATTCTGTGTTTCAAAATATGTCTATATGTTGGAAAGTCTAAAGTTATGCAGGTCATTGACCTTATCACTCTGGTGAACCCCACATGCAGTATTTGTTTGTTTGTTTGTTTGATGTTTAACGCTGCACTCAGCAGTATTCCAGCTACATGACGGCAGTCTGTAAATATCGAATCCGGACCAGACAATCCAGTGATTGACATCATAAGAATCAATCCATGCAATTGGGATATGATGACATGCATCAACCAAGTCAACGAGCCAGACCACCCGATCCGATCTTACGACATGCATAGTCACCTTTTAGTTTTACGGCAAGAATGGGTTGCTGAACGAAGACCTGTTCTACCCCAGATCTTCATGGGTCCCACATGCCCTGATATGGTGCAGATGGAGCAGAATCATAACCATGATAACTGAAGCAAACCAGTTACTTGAACCCACATGACAGTAGTTCCATCGTTCAGGAGTGTGGTGGGAGACATTTAAAATAAAATTTCTTTTTTAAATGTCAAAAACAGGTACATAAGTTATTTCCATATTCTATAATGAACCAATTATAATCAATGACTGATTGAAACAAACAGGTCATAACCAATGAACAATGATAAAATTTCATCCACTTCCCAATAGTACTATTACTAAACACAACTATATCATGTATATGAGGTGAGGTGAGGTGAAATGGGGTTTAACGTCGCGTCCAAGATTATTGCACTTATATAGCGACGTGCATGTACGTGTGTGTTGTTGTTGTGTGGCTGCTTGTACTAGTCCGGACTGATGCCGATTTATAGTGCTAGCTCACTGAGATACCATGCCGCAGTTTAACATGAATATCCCACTCAGACACAGTATACTGACTCCGAGCCGACCAGTCCTTGTTTTAGCCCCTTAATGCTGAGCGCCAGACAAGGTAACAACAAGTACCATCTTTTAACGTCTTTTGGTATGACGCGGCCGGGGATCCAACCCCGGACCTTCCGCTCTCCGGGCGGACGCTCTACCACTAGACCACAGAGGCGGTCTCATGTATATGAAGCAGGCAAGAGGGTCTCAGGTGGCGCCCTACATCCAAGGACCATCTACTCCCACTAGCTACTGCACCAACCTGATCCCAAACTAAGTGACTTCTGATGAAAGTATGTCGTACTTCAGTTTTATTACACTAGAGAGTTTTCAATTCATTTGTGAACTATTTTGTTTTGTACTAATGGGCCATGTGACCCATTACCTGAGATAATGATAGAGCCAAAGGACCAAATTGCTCAAGATTGGACAATCCTTTGTCCCCTGGGTAACTGACGCACTGCACTGTATTCTGATCTATGTACAAGGAACTCCAACACTGATGTAGGATCTTGCCAATCACAATACCAATATGTACAACGATGTATCAATGAATTGTTTATGTTATATCTATGCTAATATATATCCCGATTAGGTTCGTTTGTTGTTTAACGCCCACTCATCAATATGCCTGTGATATGAGAGTGGTAGTAAAAAAAGTTGAATAACCATATCATGCCAGCTTTAGATAGTTCTATTCTTACAATTACAGTAGTGCTGTAAATAGAGACTACTACACTCATTCTCGTTAGATACCATTTTTACGAAACGAGTGGACTTTCTATTGTATCTGACCGAGCGAAAGCGAGGTCAGATAACAAAGACAGTTCACGAGTATATAACAATATATAATGTCTGTGGAAGCTCAATGCATAACTTATATAGGATGCAAACAGAATTTGATGCGTGTGACTATCTTGTTTGGTTTAATAAAGTGTTTGTTAATATCCCTCGCTCACATGAGATTGCTTCAGTTCTGCCTTGTAGTTGCAAAATGAATGACGTCTCGCGTTTTTTTATGAATGAAAAAAGTAGTCCCGGTGTGACAGAGGTCACGGTTATCCAATCAAAACGAATAAAACAAGGTCAACCTTGTACGACACATGTGTGACGTACGGATTTAGTATTTTACCACCTGTATCTTCCCCACGTGGGTAATAAAAACATTGATGCATTAGTTGCATTCAACATGATCAATGTGATAATACTGAACTGTCTTTTAAATTATGTTCTGCAATTGTTTGTTCGTTGTTAAATGAACAATATTCCACCTATATAATGGCAGTCTGTAAATAATCGAGGCTGGACCAGACAATCCAGTGATTGACATCATGACCATCGAACTACGCAATTGGGATACGATGACATGCATCAACCAAGTCAGCAAGCCTGACCACCAGATCCTGTTAGTCGCCTCTTACGCCAAGCATAGTTGCCTATTACAGCAAGCATGGGTCGCTGAAAACCTATTCTAACCATGATTTTCACGGATTAAACCCTATATTGGTAAACAATATATAAACATGTAGAATACAAACAAGGTGTTCAAGGGAATACAATTACATCACATGTCTAATATCAGTGGAAATACACAAACATAGCCACTACATTGCATTTTTAGAAAATAAACATGATCAGCCTTCACGATTTACACAAGTCCGAGTGTTGAGGACAAGTAAAATTCCAATGATGGTAGCCCTCATTGACTTGTTGCATTTGAGGGCTATAATTCTGAATCATTTTTCAATCTTTAATTTTGCTACAAATTGGAATTGAATAAAACTGACAATTGACAAAATGACCATGATGACAACGAGGGAACAGCTTGTAGGAAGGATGGGGAGATCATTAGAAAGGTCCAGAGGCTTGAAAAGTAGGACTGTCACGTACAGCTAACAATATATACACCAGCTGATATCCATGTTGATTCTGAGTTGACTTAATTTAGTTCCAATAAAAAACAGTAAGCGAGTGAGTGAATGTTGTTTAAGCTGCAATCAGCAATATTCTAGAACTAGCAGAATAGCCATGGCGCTTTCAGCATGTACAGTATGTACAGTGCATTTGTGTAAAGGTTGTTAATAGTATTTGTTCATCAGTGAACACACTGAAAATTGCAAGTATCAGTTACCATCAAGAAAATGAGAAGCACAATGGTTCTCCTTAAAACCTGTTGGCACTGCGTTCTTGTCACAAACAAAGACTGTTATGAAGTTAGCTCCTGGAGAGGAAAACTATGTGCTCAGTCTTTCCAAACTTCTCTTGTCATGCAAAGACAGCAAATCTCTGCCAACATGGAAGGACTATCATAAGATGTATATTGAAAAGCTATATGGCTAAACAAACAATAAAAGGACTCAAGTTAACGGTTTACCATCAACACCAACAAACACGCTTCTAACACATCAGCCAAGGGCAATACTCACATGTGACATCTGATAAATAGTCCACTTAACTATCAGTCTTATCTGACATACTTACCTTACCTACCTGTTTCAACTCACGGCAGTGATAATCTATCCAGTACTTATCCAAACAGAAACACACTGTGTAATCCAATCAGAATATCACAACATAGACGATTACCATTTTTCTCTTGTTTGTCGCCCTTGTCTGTTTTATCCTGCTTCTGCTGTTGTTGCTGCTGCTGCTGTTGCAGCATGGCAGTGTGTGAGCGCAACGTCCTCGTTATTCGGCGTTCTTCCTTTTCCTCTTTCGCTTCTTCTTTCTCCACCTCTTCTTTCACTTCATATTTCTCCTCCTTTGAATCTTTGCCATCTCTCGAATTCTCCTTAACAGTATCGTCTATCTGAGGCCTTGGGGCTGCCTCCCGAAACAATTTTTCTCGTTTGCCTTCCTCTGAGGGGGCAGCACTTGCTCGAGAGGACGGCCTAGAGGACGCGGGACTAGAAGCACGGGATGTGTTGTGTGATGGTTGACACATCTCAGTAAGGACAGCCTCAGCCTCTTTCTCCTGTGTAGGGTTCAATACGTAAGGCAAGGCTGGCTTTGTTAGCAGCAGTTTCAAACAATTCTCATCCATGGAGGAAGAGGGGGCAGTCTTTTGGGGGATAATAATTTTCAAAGGTGGTACTTTCGGAGATGATGACCGACTTCCTTTCTCTGATTTTGGTCGAGGTGAATTTGGTCTGCCATCTTTACTGTCTCTTAATTCTGACCTAGTTTTCGGAGATGACGGCCTGCTCTCCTTACTGTCTCTTAACTCAGATCTCGTTTTTGGAGAAGACGGACGACTATCCCGACTTTCTCGATCTGACCTTAACTTTGGGGATACTGGCCGACTTTCCCTACTCTCCGATCTTGTTTTCGGAGAATTGGGTCTGTCCTGCCTAGATTTGGGAGACATGGGTCTGGAATCATGCTCAGACCGTGTTCTAGGGGACAAAGGTCGACTTTCTCTACTGTCCAATCGAGGTCGGGGTGAACCAGGTAAGGACTCCTGATCCACTTTTGGCGACACATTGTCTTTTTCTTGTGTTGCAGAATTACTTTCTGAACCATCCAATACTTTGAATTTGTTTGACTGAGAAACACTTAGATCACCGTCGTCTCGATTTGGCGAAGATTGTAGTTGCCACCGAGTCAGAGGTTTATGCATTCCAACAGAATCACTTAACGTGTTGGAACCCAAACTACCCCTCCGTTGAGAGTTATGATGGGTATGTGAAGGAGTCCGGTCTACTGACGAAGACACAGAACTAACAGAACTAGAAGGGAACAAGTTGTTGGCCCCCCCACCCCCTGACGAGGACGAGGGTGGGGGTTGAATATTTTGGGATGTGGAGTCTGAGCTCAACCGGGAATCACCAGGATCACCAGAATCTTGTGGAATGTGTTGATTATTTTCAACTTGGTTATTTTTCCCTATAGTACTTTGTATCTGATCCTCCTCCTCCTCCTCCCCATCACTGATATCCTCAAAATCATGATGGGGGGAGAAAGCCTGTGTTTCCTGAGACCTCAGTTTATACCGATTATCCTCCTCTACACCAGTTCCTTTTTCTACGTTCTCGTCCATTTTCAACCAGCTTGTTGTTGCTGCTGCTGTCTCGTCTGAAACTGCCTCTTTCCTTATTAACGTAGGTTCTAAATGTGGGTCATACAAGTCACTATCTATACTTGACACTGGACTACCTGGCGGCGAACTGTTTTGATCATTCGTTACCACTGTTAAACTATAGGATTGGTGCCTAGGTAGTCCTTTATACTGTGGCTTTGTTGGCTGAAATTTAAGACACAGCCGCGGGGAGCCTGTTTTTTCCGGAGACTTTGGTAGTGCTGGTATGAGCGTTCTACGCGTACTGCTGCTGGAGCCTATTCCACCTATATCACCATGCAACTCCAAATCTGAAACAGGAATAACAACAATAACCAAGGCTATAAAGCACAAGACAAACCATTTCAAATCACATGACCTTACTACCACGGTCAACAGTTTGCACTTAATGAGTATCATAATGGACGTCACAATTTCTTCCAATATAAACAAACTTTGAAGTTTAAATAAAGACGTAGAGAAATTCCTCATAACAAAGATTGCGATTTGTCCGAAAATAAAACCAAAATATCATACCTTGAATATCCCCTGGGCGAGAATCTTCATCCTTGTTAGACGAGGTACTTTCTGGCGAGGTAGGTGAGCGGGCATCATCAATGCTGGAGCTGTCGCTACTAGAGGATATGATCTCTTTTCGGAGGACTTGTTCTATCTCGGTGGAGGCTGCCACGTCCAGGGCCGTCTTACCCTTGTTGTTGGCCTGGAGGGGGTTGGCACCATGCTTCAGTAACAGCTCCACAAGCTTAAAACAAGTTCCCACAGTGAACAATCATATTATAATTATCACTTGGCCTATTGTAACAACCAAACATTATAATGGTCCAGGTATCCATAGGATTTACCGTATTCGACGTAATAAGCGCCCTGCTCTAATAAGCTCCCACAGCGAAATTTGCTAATATATTGGCTAGTGAACAATCCCAATTAGCACCCCTTGATCAATGTACACAAGACTTATTTATTCGCGTATAATATGCACTCGTGTGTTATATGCACCCTTAATTATGGGCATTTAATTCTGGAAAAATATATCTGTCGTACATAAACATTTCAGGCTGTCAGTATAAACCACAAAATTTATCTTTCAACTCTGTTTCTTTCAGCAAAATAACATTCTAATAAGAGCCCCCTATTTCTAACTTTGAGAGCGCCCTGGGCGCTTATTATGTCGAACATATTTATCACAGGGCTAGTGTTTGTTTGTTTGTTTGTTGTTTAACGCCGAACTCAGCAATATTCCAGCTATATGATTGCGGTCTGGAAATAATCAAGTCTGGACAACACAATCAAGTGATTGATGTCATGAGCATCGATCCACGCAATTGGGACACCATGACATGCATCAACCAAGTCGGCGAGTCTGACCACCCGATCCCGTTAGTCGCCTTTTACAGTAAGGATGGGTTGCTGAAGACCTATTCTACCCCCGATCTTCACAGTTCCACATGGCTAGTGACTAAAATTAATTACTTCCTGCCCATGCAAATGAGATTAATGCAGTAGTGAGAAATCAAGCCATACCTCATCAGTAGGCAAGTCTGTGTAACTGATGAATGGACAAGCAAATAGTTAGAACTAAAAGCACTGAACAATTCAATAACATTGCAATTTGTAGTGCACCATCAACAATCTCATCAACATAGACATCTAATCATGTGACTGAAGGAGTGAGTGAATGCTGTTTAGTCAGCAATATTCCAACTATATCACAGCATCCACAAATAATGAAGTCTTGAAAAGTCAAACATTAGCAACCTACACATATACCGAATTAATACCTACAAGACTTGATTTCCTTGAAGGTGAAACATTTCATAATTTTATCCTAAATATATTTCACATCCGGTCATGTCAAAGACTACTAAAACCTCACACTGATGAAATTTTATTTCAGCATTGAAGAGTTGTCACATTAAAGAATAGAAGACTTGTGTTTCTCACCTTGGGATGTCCATTAACAGCTGCATCATGTAGAGGCGTGTCATCATCAAAACCCTGAACATTAACATTGGCACCTGCTTTCAATAGTTGCTTGGCAACAGAAAGCATACCTTGGTTACATGCTTCATGCAGTGGTGTCCACCCTAGAACAAAACAAATATTGGTTTTGCAAATAAGCTCAGAAACCATAAGTCTTGGGAGAATTTAGCTAAATTGATATTCCTTGATCTTTCACATACCCTGAGTACACAACCACTTTTTTCAACATTCATGCATGCAGTATTTCCCATGAAGATCACACAATTAAAAGTAGTCACAGCTCTCATCATGTTATCAATTACTGGAGAAATGATTATTCAATTTTCAGGATAGGGAGACTCTTCGTGTGAACATAAGGCTGTATACTGAAATTAAACAATGAAAAATAATTTCTCCATGAAATCATGCTGCTGTTTAATAAATACACTCTTTTTTTAAGTTGTTGATTAATGATTTGAGGAAAATAAATGTTTTCATAACAAGGTTTTCTACATGGTACATAGAAAATGCAAACCAACGCCTAAGAACAAAAAGCATGACACGATTGACTTTCCACTGAAGAAGCTCCTTGTTTCAGATCACAATATTTGTACCTGAGAGTCTAATTTGACATAATATAACAAAAACACAAACACAAATCATGTATGTAAACAAAATAAGTTCACAAAAATTAAGATGCAAAAAGTACATATTTTCAAGCATAGCCTATAATTGGTCTGAACAAATTATACAAGGCTTTCATGGTGTCAATGTTAAAATTGGGACCATAAACATTGGATACAAGGTCATTACCAGCTGAACTGGTCTTCAACAAATAAATCATTTTCCTAAATCATCATGTACAAACTGAACATGCCAAAAAAATGCTTCAACATACATTTATAGAGCACAGTGGAGTTAATAAGTGTCTAAACCAACCTGCATAATCCTTTATGTTAACATTGGCCCCAGCTTTGATGAGCCTCTTTGTCTGCTTGACATCGCCTCGTTTCGCAGCAGTATGTAGAGCTGTTTCACCACGATCATTACGCTTATTAACTTTTTTATCTATGGGAGTTCGCTTTGATGATGATACAGGGGTGGTAGGAGATGACGGTTTGGGGGAAGATTCTGAAGCAAAAAGTATGAGGGAGTTGTGAAAATATGATCACAGACCTAAAGTACTTTTGTTAAAAAAAATAATACAAAAACAACCCCCCCCCAAACATAAACTCCCCATTTCACAAAATAATAAAAACCTCATTTCACAAAATAAAATAAGAATGGCATTAAGCATACATAATAATGAAGAAATGGGGTCAGCATAATAATCAACTCCATAAAACACACGTTCCATCAGCATTATTAACATCAATATCCCAGGTGTTATATTGTGAACACTCATTATAAATCAATAAAGCAACATGGTTTTTTTCAAGTACTGATGTACTGATTGTGAATATATTGACCAGACTGTCAACAGGAAGTGGCTTACAAATCTAGGCTAGCTCTGCATTTCATGTAAGGGAGATAATTCATGCTGTCTCGACAGCCATATTGTTGACAAGCATAAAATATGTGCAGCCTGCATACCATAGAAAAAAGCTGAATATATAATCAAAAGCCTGATGTAACAAAATATTACTATATATATTACTGATAACATGTGTCACCAGCATCATTGTTCATCTGACTGCAAAATAAACAAATTCAGTCTCAAGCTGATTGTTATGATTTTAGCTTGCATCTGCACATTCATGAAAAATATTGGATGTACTAAACAATGACTGTTGTCTAGTACTGTTCCAAAATAAGTCTACAAGACAAACAAAAAGCAAACAATATCTATCACACATTGTCACAAGCTGCAGAAATCCTTTTTACCATGGTTACTAAGTAAAGAGTCACGAGTGTCAAAAACAAACCTCCTTGTGAAGCTCCATCGGTCATTCTCATGAGCAATGCCATTTGTTGTCTCTCCGAGAGTGGAACTGTAATGCGTGATATGTTTCCTCCTGGAGTTCGAGGGGTGGGCATATTCCCGGGCTCAGGAGAACTGTCTGGTATCAATAATGCTCGCTTTCGTTTTGAAGTGATTCTCTTATCTATGGGGGAAACAATGGAGCAAATAAACAGATGAAAACAACCAGGCTAAACTATGTTTTTCAGAACAAAAACTTTACATAAAACTTACATTGACTTACTTTAATCATGTCTTAGCTGATGTATTCTAAGAGCAAAATGAACAGAACACATTTGTGTTCAAATCATCATAAGTATGGGTTGAATTTAAACTTGATCATGTTTATCACAAGTTTATAGCAAAAATACACACTGTTGGACAGAGATGGAATAAAAGAGAGCAGACATGATTAGATTACATGTGTATTAGGGACAATCTTTAGGGTGGAGTATTGATACCAAAGTCATGACACCAGACTCCCCAATTCACACTATTTCTTCTGATATGATATATTGATACAATATTGCCTACAAAATACATGATACACACACAACAAACAGTCATAGAGGGACCATGCCATAAACAAATTTTGCGTTTCAAACAGTTCAACAAGCCACAGAATTGGACTTTGAACAATGTTGAAGTGCAATGCTAATATTTTGTTAAGGAAGTTTCATCATTGTGATTACTTAACTGTTCATATCAGGTATAGCCATGCTGGCAGTCTGTTACCTTAGTCACTAGTCTGAACCCTGTGTCCATTAAAACTGCTTTCAGCCAAGTAAACTCAGGTGAAAGGTGATATGGGTTTTTAACATCGTGTTTATTATTATTGCACTTATATACCCACCGAGATACCATGTGGCAATTTAACATGGATACCCCACTCAGACACAGTATACTGACTCCAGCCAACCAGTCCTTGTTTTAGCCCCTTATGCCCAGCACCAGGCAGAGTAACAAGTACCATTGTTTACACAGACGGGAATCGAACGCCCAACCTTCTGCTCTCCGCGCAGACCCTCTACCACTAGACCATGGAGGCAGTCTAGTAAACTCAGCTAATAATCATGATCCACATACATCATTATACAAAACTCAACTAAAAATTATTTTAAAAAAGTCAAATTCTGTAACCTCTAGCACAGACTGACATATTGATTAATTGCAATGCTTGGCAATACAATGACGTATTGTGGAAGTGGCTGATATCGGTATCACGACATTGTGTAAGCAATGTCTGCATCAATCTTTTGTAGCACCACCAAACTATCATTACATGTATATTCATTACTACACCCTAATAGGTATCTGAATGTCAAGGGTATCCAACTGATCTACAACTCATTTCGGACTAGTGCTTTAGGCATACATAACCAGAGATCCAGATAAGCTGCGTATCTGCGTAAAAAACACATCAGAAATGCAGAAATATGCAGTAAAATAATATCCAAGGGTATCAAATACGCAACGAACATTACAGATACGCTACAAAAATAAAACTTGTGCGTATATTCAAAATATTGTGAAGTAACCCTGCGTATTCGATTGGCAAATCAGCAACTTATTTTGAAATTATAAACGGGCATTCCGTCAACCTTGCCAAACTCCACGATGACAGTTACATCATGATCATTTGCCATCACACTTGTGGAAGTATCGTGGTATTTTTGAGTCCTATAAAGCTCTCGAACCCACACAACACCAGTTTGCAGGGACTAGATGAATAGTGTTTTTAAATATTTAACTTAAATACCCACATGTGTAAAAACTAGTGGGTAACAGAAATTTGAATACCCAGATAGAATTACTGATACGCAGTGATTTTAAAATGCATGGGTAAAATACCCACAACACCAAAAGCTTATCTGGAGCTCTGCATGACTAGACTTGGGTGGAAAAAACAACTAGTTACTCCAGATTTTTCAATAGTCTCTGGCTGACAGACCAGTCGCAATGTCTAAAGCTGAATGTATGTAGCAAACTGAAACCACAACTAACCATCGTCTTCGGGTGTAGCATCAGTAACCAACAGCTTCCTCTTCATGCCCTTCCCATCGGACTGAGGCGTCTTAACATATTGAGACTTCTCCTGGTGTAGCAAATAAAGCAGTGAGAGTTATTTCAGCAGTTAGCAAACATACTAAGACAGTGGACACCCACAAACAGATTCACAGATGCAGGGGTAGACACCACTGGTCATATCTAAGTTAACTAGCCCGCAGGTCATTCCAGACTAGTAGCTTATGTAACAAAACTAGATTTAGGAAGACAACAACTACACTGTATTTTCATTTGTCTCAGACAATGGGACTATCGGACGTGTCTTTCCCGGCATATGGTAATGTATATCCAGCCACAGCTTCCAATCCATCAAGAGAAACAGTAAAGTGTTAACACTACAACTCTTTTAGCAAGTTTATCCTTGTACAGTCTCTGGTACTCTGAATGACTCAAAAGTACCAATGTCAGCAGAACAATGATTACTCTTAGTTTCAGATAGAGTGAGTGAGGGAGTAAGGTTTTACGCTGCTTTTTAGCAATATTCCAGCAATTTCACGGCGGGGATCCCAGAAATGGGCTTCACATATCATACCCATGTTGGGAATCAAACCCAGCTCTTTGGCGTGACGAGGGAAAGCTTTAACCACAAGGCTACCCAACCGCCCCAGTTTCAGATAGAAAGCCAGGAAAGTACTTAAATAGCAGAGATAACATAACCACATAATGGTTACTTAGATACATTTGTCTTCTATCATATAGTAAGATATACTATTAGGTGAAAATCATGATCTTCCTTTCACAATAGTTTGTTTACCTTATTTATGTTCATTTTAATATTTGTTCACAAAACATTACAATAACAACCACTATGCATCAGTGGATTCAATCATCCCATTACCTGAGAATATGTTTAGAAATTATCATAAACAACTTGATTTATATTAGCAGTGATCCTGACCATAAACTTGTAGCATCATGAAATATTAATGCCAATCCACATTAAATAATATGTTATCTACCCAATAATTCAAAATACAATGTTAAAAGACTTCATAAAATCTGGCGACTTCTATTGCAGTGATAATGTGTCTAAACGAAAGTTGAGGTCAAGGTCTGAGCATGAGTCATCAAGATAGTGATAGTGGTTACAATCTACATGTGGCTCAGTGAAATGAGAGATGTCTAACACACATATATCTACATGAAAAGCCACTTGTATACAGTTCATGATATCACACTATTAATAAATAGGTTATGAATATATCCATTCATTTTGACAAATCAAGAGGTTATGGCTGCCATTCTGAAATATGTTGAGTTGAGTTCTTCCCAAAACATGTTGAACTTGAAGGCAGTCTTTCTTACACATCCAATGTCTCAGGAATAATAAACTGATGTTCATCACACACTGACATAAGTTCAACAAAGGGAGGTGTTTTACTCCATGTGGATTAGACTTTGATGTTTTCAACCATTATGTCAACAAATATGTTGAAACCATTGCAAATTCTCCTTATTTTGGTTCATCCATGTTCATGGAATGCATATTCTTCCACCGGAATGTCTTACAAGCCTTGGTATAGTTAGCATGGTTAGCTGAGTGCATGGTAATAAGGGAATCAAATAAAATCAATAATTGTTAGTTACAAATCTTGTTTAAAAATACATACCTTTCTAGGAGGTGATTTCTTCTCTGACATGTCTGGCATGCACAGTATTTTATACCGTAAACCAGGCATGCAGAAGCTGTCATTAATAGTTCTTGTATCACGTATCCAAAATATAAAAACATCTGAAGACTGCTTGTGTCTTTCTTATGCTTGGCATCTGTATTGAAAACATAGAAGCCCCATTATGAAACATGAACAGCAGTTGGACTTACACATGTATTTACTATTCATAGTTCTGAATTTCCTACTTTCTTAAGATCTGGAATCAAAACTGCACAGAAAGACACATGATGTTATTTCATGAAAATACATCATTGGTAGAATGATAATTTCATCTTTTTAATGCTGATAACACTAGTGTGAACAATACATATAGGCTCCATATGATACACTACATGTAAAATAATGTACACATGTAATAATACTTAAAACAGGTCACAATGGCCATCACAAGCAAAATGTAAACAAATCACGACTTTCTTGAATGTGTTATTTATATCGGTCCATGTGTATAATAGCCTGCATCATCAATGTTGATTGATTTTCATGCGAAAATACACAGAGATGGTGTGGTTAACAATACACACTAAACAAATGACAGATTTCTGCAGTACTTACATAATATTACCATTTACCCTGTATACCATCAAATACTAGATAGTACCCAACACAAAGATTGTGGATATAGAGGTACATGTATATGAGAAAATGTATACATGTATGACTGACAGAATGGCACATTTCATGATATCACAAAATGAACCATGATCAAAACATGTCATTGTATACAGGTCACAATAGTCTCAAAACAGCAAGTTCTAGTTAACAGAGATCATGACAGATGGATTATAAACATATTGTAAACAAAAGGGTTCACTCAACATGATCACAAGACAAGCATAATATCCATAGTCTTCACCAACATAAAGGAGGCAGATTGTTTATCTTGATCAATTTGAAAATGGTACACAGTAGGCATATTTCGCTATTAACTTAAAAAAGGACAAACATTATCAAAAGTTATGTGGTTCAATATTACATCATCATGCTTGAGACTAAAAAAACCTGCAGCAATACAGATTATGTAACCCAATTCGTGCTGTGTACTTCATTTCATTAAACAAAAGATATGAACACTGAACTGCATTGCAGTTTGTCTAGTCATGCAACTGACATACACGACTGTCATTCGGCGATATCAACTTACATATGCACTCTACATGTTTCGAATCACGATACATCAGAATATAGTGGACATGTATGCTTGGGTTTTTCCTCTAATATCACGAAAATAATAGAAATATTGTGTAAAATAAGGAATGAGTGATGTCACTCATAAGCGCCATGTCTTTGCAGGCACGCCAAAATAATTACATGAATAGAAGAAGAATTGTCGGGTCAGATGCAATAAGGTAAACACTAAAATGTTTAAAAGTTTAATCACGTATATTATCCATACGTATTGAGGATATTTGACGATCCTACATTATTGAATTAAAAAAAGTACGAAAACAAAGAGGATATTCATGGCTTCCTCAAAAACAGCATGGCGATATAGCTCAACAGTAAACAAACTTTTGACGTTATTATTGAATTAATTTCATGCAAATTATAAGAAAAAATACAGCATCTGACAGAGAAATCATTCGGGATTTGTGTACAATTGTTATTTTTGCATTATAACAAAGGATAACAAAAATAATACATCATAAAGTGAAGTACTCACCTTCGAAGGACGCGAGGCTTTTACTTTACGCGGGGTGAATAGTCTTGTTGATTGGCTAAGATGCAACTTCCTTTGCACTTGTAATAACATCTGTCATTGGTCAATTTTCGGTCATTGATTTTTCTACGAAAATGGCCATATGATTGCAAAACATGGGATAGTCAGTGACACCGTTTCGTGACAAGGGACTACAATACTGCAAGTGTTTCTGAACTTGAATCGCTTAGCCAGCGAAAACATAATACTGATTTGACCTAACTCACAACTCAGGTGTCATATGTTAGGTTAAACGAAGAATGTTTTGATCATTACATCACACACATTTTACGTTGGGATGTGACATTGAAATTAGGTAGAACGCATTTCCCTTGTCTGTCACACACTGCAGTACAAACATTATCTGTAGGAATATTATTGTTATATATATTACATGACCTTGTCGAAGAGAAGGGGAATTTAATTAATAAAAACGTGACGTAAACCTTGATATTTTGCATTTACATAAGAAACTTTTACAGGGAAAATGAATAAAATTGGGAGAATTTATCCCTGGAAAGATGGGTTATTTATGATTAAAAGACATCCCCAAAGTATACTTTCGAAAGGACACCCAAAGGACATTGCAAATCAACCAAAGGAGCATGTGTTTCGATGTCAACAGTGTAGGAAATTGCGAACTGTTTCAAGCCTACCTTCATTCAACATAACAGGATCATATGGAATCTTCCATTCACAGAGAAAGGTTTGTATTATTTGACTTAAACGAAAAAAATATATGTGGCAAGTCATATACACTTTGAGTAAAAGTTTCATTGACTTTTAGGGACTTGTTTGACTGGTCAGAATCTTTGGTTTAAAATGGGAGGGTATACCTTTATATAATACATTGACTATTTGCTATCAAAATCAGATTGTTTTTCTGTTATGAAGCATGTTTGTACTGTTTTTTCTAATTATGATGGGTGATGGTATTTGATATATACACAAGGATTTGGTTCAAGTAGTCATGATTCCTTTTTACAAAAATACATATATAATAAATGTATGTTAACCACAGAAAAAAACTTATGAGCATTCAGGGTTAGAATTGATCCTTAGAAAACTATGCTGGTTGTAAAACTTTTTGATGGATTGTCTGGTCCACACTCAAATGTTTCAGACTGCCATGGAATATTGCTGACTGCTGCGTTAAACAACAAACAAAACCGTATTATAAACTTGAAATAAATATTATAAGTTGTATGCTTTTCCCTGGGAGAATATGGTTTGATGTACTCTTTCTTTGGCCGTGTACCGAGGTGACAATGCAACGAATAGTCAGGCTTGTTGACTTGGTTGATTGCTAGTCATGGTACCCCGACGGTGGGGTCATTGCTCATTATATCAAGATAACATTGCAGTGTGACTGTTTGGGAAATATGCAAGTTTAACACAAATTTAATGACGCACATACACAAAATCATCCACTAAAAATGCAAATCTAGTGCAAGTTTTCACAAAGTTCCCCAGAACAGATGCAATATATTGTGTAATGTATCACAATACATGAATCATTATTACAATACGAAAGATAGATACCCATCACTGCGTTGAGGTGACTTAATGGATTGGATAGTCAGACTTGGTGACTTGGTTGATTGCAGTCATTGTACCCCAATGGTGTGGATCATTTCTCATAATATCAATCAGTGGATTGTCTGGCCCATACATGATTATTTAAAGGGTGCTATCATAGTGGTGGAATATTGCTGACAAGAAACAGAACTATGTCATAATAATGTTATAAATATTGTAGGCTTGTCCCTCGAGGAATATGAATTGATGTACCCTCTCACAGTGTGGCCATGCACAATGAGGCAACATCTTCAATGAAATAATGATACTGCCAAATTTATCATTTAACATAATTTGCAAAATGGAGATTGAGAAGCAAAGCGATTTTTCCCATATTGACAGATGAGCTCCAGACGATAATTTGTTTATATTTAGGCTCCGTGCATCCCATACATGTGAGGTAGATGCTGATATACATTGCACACCACTGTTCTAGAGATCAGAAAAATATCTGGTTCAATGACGGCAAATTACTTTAATGTGGTACATGTATGATGCATTTCACACTGGAAATACATGGTGGTATGTGATGGGTTTACTTCGGGGGCTTTCTGGAAATTGCGGTGAGGTGTCAGCTTCTGTTTTTGCAAGTACTTGAAAATACTTTTCTAGTTTTGCATGTGTGGTCATGAGTATTTTAAAGTACTTTTATTGCTGACTGCATTTAAAAATATGAAGCATTTAAGATTTAGGTGCGCCCTTGAAGCACCAGGAACTTACTTAACCATGCTATTTGCACTTTAGTACAAGGAATTTCAATCTATTAACTCTCACCGCCCCAGCTATTGGTCAGAATACCCACATCATCAGCTCTCATTACTGGTGCCAGAGTGACTATGTTGTCCAGCAATAGCACAATTAAGTTATCAGGATAAACTGAGAGTTTAATGACGTCAGCAGTAAGTCAGCAGCGTGCAGGTAATTACTGGAGATGAGGGATGGTACATTGTTAATTGTCATGTTGTAAAAGCAGAGCACTTTGTGGTCAGTGGACCGTGGGGATGGTGGTTCCCATTAGACGATTATATAGACAGTGTTTGTGTATGGGATTACATCAGTCAACCAGGTGAGAGTACATCATTATCTAGACTGATGATATGACTAGAATACTGGGGTGATTATCACTTCTCATTAAATTGGTGAGAGATATTAATTGGTCTCCAGTACTGTGTGCAGGTTTGAAAGGAGTAATGTTGAAATTGTATATGAAATCATTCAAATTAATCAGTATTGAAAGATACTCAGTGTTCGCGTTAACACAGAAACCTGCATTTTTCACGCATTAAAATCATATAAACATGCAAAAAATATTTTGCATGCGTGTTTTGCACACACGTATTGTGATTTACTTAATTTTGTATTAATACCATAAAATAAAAAAACTATTCAAAGCTGATAGCTTGCTTACGATGTTCAGACGAAAATAAATCAAAACCTGGAAACTCCCATTGCTAAATATAGAGTGTGGCCAGATGGCCCTTTGAATCGCGTCCATATATTTCCATATATGGTCTTTGGGCAACGTAATAACTAATCTCAGACACAGGACGTCATTCGTTACTATCGATGGAATTCCCCAGAAGTCGTTCGTTTCATCCAATCAGAGCCCAGCTTACAAGTAATAGTCGGTAATACGAACGATCATAAACAGAGCGACGGAAGAAAACTTCCACACATGGGCGTGTGCTAACAACAGTCATATTTATTTTATTAATGATTGAACGTTCATTATATCAAAACTGGACCTGTAAGTTAAAGCTTGGTCATAATTATTAGCTGTACTAGTACTGATTTTATTGAAATAAAAACTTCACACCCGAAATATTTGAATTGAAAATTTATTATTTCATTTCTGCAATGCACTGTACAAAAACCTACCGCGAACACTGATACTCCTCTAAGAAGGATGGGCAGTGGTGACTGAGTAAATGTTGTTTTCCACCACAGTAAATGATCAAGTGACGTTAGGTAGCCCAGTGGTTGATAGCGCAAGTTAACAATCAATGCTGTGATGACACAGTCAACAAGATCACACTTGTTAAGTCACTGACATTGTCTGAGGCAGCTAGATGTCTTACTCTGGGAGTATGGGTTTGAATCCTGGATGAGACGCCACCCAAGAAAGCTTCATCATACTCAGACGTTGATATTTGCTCTTGCTATCATCAATTGGCCATGTTCGTGAAATAAAATCTCATTAATCTCTGACCTTTTGCTCCGAAACAACAGCTTTCTGCATGAAGATCTGGGGACCCCTCTATTGTGTTGGGTGAACCCTGAGCTAACTTTGACCACCCAATCTAAATGAATGTTCCTGAGCCAATCAGATGCCAGCTTTTATTAAACAGTTTGGCTCCATTTCTTTACCTCCTCAATTCATACAAAAGAAAACCCACACAGAACACTAATATTCCCTTTAGGGTGAAGATGCCATAGCACTCAGTAATGACTGTGTGTGCAAAGTTTCTGCAACAATATAATGGTATAGCCTTTATTATCTACATATGGAACTGTTTTTTTTCGAGAAACAGAAATCAAATATTCGGGTCTGAATGTTGTCATCATCATTCAAATGTATTGTATAGGCGTGAAAGATCTTATTTTCATTTATCCCGCCGTGATATTGCTGGAATATTGCTTTAAGCGGCATAAAACCATACTCACTCATTTTTAAAAAGAAAATAAATCCTGTGTGCTATTTCACTTCGTTGTTATGAGTATACATTCATGGTTATTTATGTGTGTGATCTTTGTACATTACAACTAACTGAAAGAGCAGCAGTAGAAATTAGCACTTGACAAATTGCCCAACAGTTAAGGTATCATAAGGAGAAGTTGAAATTTTTAAGTGTTTTGTTATATGTTATCATTATAAGGTGAGTGAGTGAGTGAGTATGGTTTTACGCCGCTTTTAGCATTATTCCAGCAATATCACGGCAGGGGACACCAGAAATGGGCTTCACACATTGTACCCATGTCGGGAATCGAACCCAGGTCTTCGGCGTGACGAGCCAACGCTTTAACCACTAGGCTAACCGACCGCCCCTATCATTATAAGGACTAGTGGACTAAAAATGTTAGTTTCTATCACTGAAGAGTGTATGTGTTGGGTCAGAAAATAGTTAAAAGTCAAAAGGTATAGCATATTTCTCCCAGACACGGGGCGGTCGGGTAGCCTAGTGGTTAAAGCGTTCGCGATTCACATGGGTACAATGTGTGAAGCCCATTTCTGGTGTCCCCCGGCGTGATATTGCTGGAATATTGCTAAAAGCGGCTAAAAACCATACTCACTCACTCACTCTCCCAGACACAGGGCCCAACAGCCTCTGAATTTATCCATCATGGTCATATTGGTACCAGTCAGTGTTTGTTACATACATACTGGTTAAAGGAAAATCTGTATGACCTGTTCATAAATAATGATCACTTCAAATACAATAATCTGTTCATGAATGATTATCTCTGCAAATACAGGAACCTGTTCATGAATGATTATCTCTGTAAACACAATAATCTGTTCATGAATGCTTATCTCTGTAAATACAGGAACCTGTTCATGAATGATTATCTCTGCAAATACAGGAACCTGTTCATGAATGATTATCTCTGTAAATACAACAATCTGTTCATGAATGCTTATCTCTGTAAATACAATAATCTGTTCATGAATAATGATCACTTCAAATACAATAATCTGTTCATGAATGATTATCTCTGCAAATACAGGAACCTGTTCATGAATGATTATCTCTGTAAACACAATAATCTGTTCATGAATGCTTATCTCTGTAAATACAGGAACCTGTTCATGAATGATTATCTCTGTAAATACAACAATCTGTTCATGAATGATTATCTCTGCAAATACAGGAATCTGTTCATGAATGATTATCTCTGTAAATACAATAACCTGTTCATGAATGATTATCTCTGCAAATACAGGAACCTGTTCATGAATGATTATCTCTGTAAATACAATAATCTGTTCATGAATGATTATCTCTGTAAATACAGGAACCTGTTCATGAATGATTATCTCTGTAAATACAATAATCTGTTCATGAATGATTATCTCTGCAAATACAATAATCTGTTCATAAATGATTATCTCTGCAAATACAGGAACCTGTTCATGAATGATTATCTCTGTAAACACAATCATCTGTTCATGAATGCTTATCTCTGTAAATACAGGAACCTGTTCATGAATGCTTATCTCTGCAAATACAGGAACCTGTTCATGAATGATTATCTCTGTAAATACAACAATCTGTTCATGAATGCTTATCTCTGTAAATACAGGAACCTGTTCATGAATGATTATCTCTGCAAATACAGGAACCTGTTCATGAATGATTATCTCTGTAAATACAACAATCTGTTCATGAATGATTATCTCTGTAAATACAGGAACCTGTTCATGAATGATTATCTCTGTAAATACAACAATCTGTTCATGAATGCTTATCTCTGTAAATACAATAATCTGTTCATGAATAATGATCACTTCAAATACAATAATCTGTTCATGAATGATTATCTCTGCAAATACAGGAACCTGTTCATGAATGATTATCTCTGTAAACACAATAATCTGTTCATGAATGCTTATCTCTGTAAATACAGGAACCTGTTCATGAATGATTATCTCTGTAAATACAGGAACCTGTTCATGAATGATTATCTCTGCAAATACAATAATCTGTTCATGAATGATTATCTCTGTAAATACAATAATCTGTTCATGAATGATTATCTCTGCAAATACAGGAACCTGTTCATGAGTGCTTATCTCTGTAAATACAGGAACCTGTTCGTGAATGATTATCTCTGCAAATACAGGAACCTGTTCATGAATGATTATCTCTGTAAATACAATAATCTGTTCATGAATGATTATCTCTGCAAATACAATAATCTTTTCATGAATGATTATCTCTGCAAATACATTAACGTGATCATTATCAGGGGAAGGAAGGGGAAGATTCTGAGTGAGGAATAACTGTGTTGTGTGTAAAACCCTCTTCACATGCCTCTCGAATAAGAACACTTCCAAAATAGACAGAAGACTAGGAAGGCAGAAAGTGAAGCTTTAATTCAATGTGAAGTCATCAGATAGGGGTTGGACAGGTTAGACACTCCTTAGATGATATTTGTTAAGTCTCTTCTACTTGGCTACAGGGAAAGGATTTGCACTTGATTGACCTTTACATCCAGGCGAAAAGTGACACCATGTTTTTCTCCAATAATGTCAATGCTATATTTTAGGGTTTACGGCAGTGTCTTCTTTTTGTTCCAATGCTTAAAGACATTCATCATAAGAACTATTATTTTGTTTTTCTATAATTTCAGCAGCTTCCATTTGGAATTTCAAAATGCCTCAAGACAGAGATCCAGGCTTTTTCTAATTTGTTGAAGAGATCTGGTTTCCATAGCAACCATGAGTTAATGCAACTGTTTGGATTAGGTGAGTATGGTGCAGTTAGCATGACCAGTGTTGACAGACTGACAGATGAAATAACGGGTCAGGTCAATTATTAGAACTCGGCTGGATGTGTTGTGTGGTTTATAATTGACAGCAAACTCACTTTGCTCTATTCACTTTTACCATTATTCATTCATCATGACTAGTGTTCGAAATTTAGGGGTGTTGTTAAGATTACCTACAATAGTATTTTCATTTTAATGATGAGACCCACATAAAGCTTTAATACTAAACAATAGGTGATCATTATCATCATCACCTTTTAGCCATCATTACTTAATATGGAAGACTGGGCGGTAGGTAGACTAACATCTAGTCTCTGAAATAAACATATTTTACAGAAAAATCAGTTGTTAAATTTTAGTTATCAAATATTATAAAAAGAAACCCAGACACTTTCTTCCTGATACTGCAGTAATCTAGACTTGCCAAATATTATAGACTTGCATGAACTATATTGGATATATTTGTCAGACTAGGTGGTAGAGTAACAGTAGTTCTCACTTCACATTGAGGACTCTGTTTTTATCCCCCAAATGGCACAAAGGGCAGTCAGGTAGCCTAGTGGTTAAAGCGTTCGCTGACATGTGTACAATGTGTGAAGCCCATTTCTGGTGTCCCCCGCCGTGATATTGCTGGAATATTGCTAAAAGCGGCGTAAAACCATACTCACTCACTCACTCACAAGGGGCGGTCGGGTAGCCTAGTGGTTAAAGCGTTCTCTCGTCACGCCGAAGACCCAGGTTAGATTCCCGACATGGGTACAATGTGTGAAGCCCCTTTCTGGTGTCCCCCGCCGTGATATTGCTGAAATATTGCTAAAAGCGGCGTAAAACCATACTCACTCACTCACCCCATAATGGCACAATGATTGTGGGAAGCCCACTTTCAGTTTCCAGGCCATGATAGTTATTTATCCTCCAAATGTTTTCCACAGGTGATATTGCTTGGGTGATACATTTGATATGAAAAGACACTTGGGTGAGATTCTCTGTAAAGCTTACAACTGAACACCGTTCCTACTCATGAAGCCATGAAAGACAGATCTTTATATGATGATGACACTGTCTGGGAAATGAGTCGGACATACATACATCAAAATTAAATTAACTTTTGATGGTGATGATATTCACTCCTTAGATGATAAATAACCAGGACAATCCCTTATGCCTGACCAGGTGTTGCCACATCAGTGTTTACAGGTGTGTACAGGTGTGTACAGGTATGTACATATACTGACGAGCTACCCACCCTGCATGGTTGTGGAGGTATGCGTGCCTAGTCTTCATGGCAAGTTTGTAATAAGTGATGGGATTGGCTGACATTACACTGAGGAAACTGTTGTATTTTTTTAGAATTAATTTATCTGAGTAGGTCACTGAAATAAAGGATGAAAACTGATAGCATACACTGGGGGGTCAGAAGGGAATCTGTGCACACCAACGGAAATCCTGTTTTTCAGATGGTAATCTTACTCGCTATGCTCATTTCGTTTTTTGATGATGTGGGTGATTTGTATTATTACCACTGGTCATGCTGATCTTGTTTGCTGCTAGTTGCCCCTAACAGTACATATAGTCTAATCTTGAGGAAGGTTTCTTAATGTCAAAGTTTTCATACCAGAAACGTTCTACCTCCACCAGGTGCACCCTCACGAACTTCTCATCTTGAGCTTCCACGCCCCTCCATCCATCCCCGCCTGCCCTCATCTACAACCCTGTGCCATCATTTACAATTATCTGCCCCACATCCACAACAATTTACCCTCATTTACCTACTCCTGCAACCATCTACCCCCATACACACTCATCTACCCCCATACACACTCATCTACCCCCATACACACTCATCTACCCCCATACACACTCATCTACCCCCATACACACTCATCTACCCCCATACACACTCATCTACCCCCATACACACTCATCTACCCCCATACACACTCATCTACCCCCATACACACTCATCTACCCCTCCTTTAACCATCTACCCCTATACACACTCATTTACCCCTCCTTTAACCATCTACCCCAATACACACTCATTTACCCCTCCTTTAACCATCTACCCCCATACACACTCATCTACCCCCATACACACTCATCTACCCCCATACACACTCATCTACCCCTCCTTTAACCATCTACCCCTATACACACTCATTTACTCCTCCTTTAACCATCTACCCCAATACACACTCATTTACCCCTCCTTTAACCATCTACCCCAATACACACTCATTTACCCCTCCTTTAACCATCTACCCCAATACACACTCATTTACCCCTCCTTTAACCATCTACCCCAATACACACTCATTTACCCCTCCTTTAACCATCTACCCCCATACACACTCATTTACCCTCCTACAACCATCTACCCCCATACACACTCATTTACCCCTCCTTTAACCATCTACCCCAATACACACTCATTTACCTCCTTTAACCATCTACCCCAATACACACTCATTTACCCCTCCTTTAACCATCTACCCCAATACACACTCATTTACCCCTCCTTTAACCATCTACCCCAATACACACTCATTTACCCCTCCTTTAACCATCTACCCCCATACACACTCATCTACCCCTCCTTTAACCATCTACCCCCATACACACTCATCTACCCCTCCTTTAACCATCTACCCCCATACACACTCATCTACCCCTCCTTTAACCATCTACCCCCATACACACTCATCTACCCCTCCTTTAACCATCTACCCCCATACACACTCATTTACCATTACTCCTGCAACCATCTACCCCAATACACACTCATTTACCCCTCCTTTAACCATCTACCCCAATACACACTCATCTACCCCTCCTTTAACCATCTACCCCAATACACACTCATTTACCTCCTTTAACCATCTACCCCAATACACACTCATTTACCCCTCCTTTAACCATCTACCCCAATACACACTCATTTACCCCTCCTTTAACCATCTACCCCCATACACACTCATTTACCCTCTCCCACAACCATCTACCCCAAACACACTCATTTACCCTCTCCCACAACCATCTACCCCAATACACACTCATTTACCCCTCCTTTAACCATCTACCCCAATACACACTCATTTACCCCTCCTTTAACCATCTACCCCAATACACACTCATTTACCCCTCCTTTAACCATCTACCCCAATACACACTCATTTACCCCTCCTTTAACCATCTACCCCCATACACACTCATCTACCCCTCCTTTAACCATCTACCCCCATACACACTCATCTACCCCTCCTTTAACCATCTACCCCCATACACACTCATCTACCCCTCCTTTAACCATCTACCCCCATACACACTCATCTACCCCTCCTTTAACCATCTACCCCCATACACACTCATCTACCCCTCCTTTAACCATCTACCCCCATACACACTCATCTACCCCTCCTTTAACCATCTACCCCCATACACACTCATCTACCCCTCCTTTAACCATCTACCCCAATACACACTCATTTACCCCTCCTTTAACCATCTACCCCAATACACACTCATCTACCCCTCCTTTAACCATCTACCCCTATACACACTCATTTACCGTCTCCTTTAACCATCTACCCCAATACACACTCATTTACCCCTTCTTTAACCATCTACCCCAATACACACTCATTTACCCCTCCTTTAACCATCTACCCCAATACACACTCATCTACCCCTCCTTTAACCATCTACCCCTATACACACTCATCTACCCCTCCTTTAACCATCTACCCCCATACACACTCATCTACCCCTCCTTTAACCATCTACCCCCATACACACTCATCTACCCCTCCTTTAACCATCTACCCCAATACACACTCATCTACCCCTCCTTTAACCATCTACCCCTATACACACTCATTTACCGTCTCCTTTAACCATCTACCCCAATACACACTCATTTACCCCTCCTTTAACCATCTACCCCAATACACACTCATTTACCCCTCCTTTAACAATCTACCCCCATACACACTCATTTACCCCTCCTTTAACCATCTACCCCAATACACACTCATTTACCCCTCCTTTAACCATCTACCCCCATACACACTCATTTACCCCTCCTTTAACAATCTACCCCCATACACACTCATTTACCCCTCCTTTAACCATCTACCCCAATACACACTCATTTACCCCTCCTTTAACCATCTACCCCCATACACACTCATCTACCCCTCCTTTAACCATCTACCCCCATACACACTCATCTACCCCTCCTTTAACCATCTACCCCCATACACACTCATCTACCCCTCCTTTAACCATCTACCCCCATACACACTCATCTACCCCTCCTTTAACCATCTACCCCAATACACACTCATCTACCCCTCCTTTAACCATCTACCCCTATACACACTCATTTACCGTCTCCTTTAACCATCTACCCCAATACACACTCATTTACCCCTCCTTTAACCATCTACCCCAATACACACTCATTTACCCCTCCTTTAACCATCTACCCCAATACACACTCATCTACCCCTCCTTTAACCATCTACCCCTATACACACTCATCTACCCCTCCTTTAACCATCTACCCCCATACACACTCATCTACCCCTCCTTTAACCATCTACCCCCATACACACTCATCTACCCCTCCTTTAACCATCTACCCCAATACACACTCATCTACCCCTCCTTTAACCATCTACCCCTATACACACTCATTTACCGTCTCCTTTAACCATCTACCCCAATACACACTCATTTACCCCTCCTTTAACCATCTACCCCAATACACACTCATTTACCCCTCCTTTAACAATCTACCCCCATACACACTCATTTACCCCTCCTTTAACCATCTACCCCAATACACACTCATTTACCCCTCCTTTAACCATCTACCCCAATACACACTCATTTACCCCTCCTTTAACCATCTACCCCAATACACACTCATCTACCCCTCCTACAGCCATCTACCCCCATACACACTCATCTACC